ATCTCTTAGAGTTGGGAGGGTCAGACGAAAAGAGGGAAAGTTGGATCGAACATAACGAACAAGAGAAACAATCTTGAGAGAAAAAACAAAAAGAAATAAACAAACAATCATAAATAATTATTTATTTATTTAATTTATAAAGTGGGGAAGTCATTAGAGCTGGTGGTTTGAAGAAAAACGAATTCAGAGACAAGCGAGGACACCCCCACTGTAGCTCAAAACCCTAAGCCCTAAACCCTAAACCCTAAACCCTAAACACTAAACCCCACAGTGGGCAACCTTAAAGAAAGCCCTGAACCCTCCACCCTGGACCCTCTACTCAGCAACCCTAAAAGCCCTCAACCCTTAACTCTGACCCTTAAACCCTAAACCCTAAACCCTAAACCCTACCTCAGCGACTAAATGGCCGCAAGGGACCACAATGGGTTTAATTGATTTTCTTCTTTTGCAATTATCGCATTCTGTTAAACACTCTCCCTCAAAAGTCTCTCCGAAGTGCTGCGGGTAAAAACACAAAAAGTCCTCTAATCAAATAAAACCCTTTTCAACTAATTGAACAAACAATCACAAAAGCTCCTTCTGGCTAGCTAGCTAGCCAGCTGACTAGCTAGCTGGCTAGCTGGCTGACTGGCTAGCTGGCTAGCTGGCTGACTGGCTAGCTGGCTTGCTGGCAATCTCACCCACGAGCTAGCTAGCTAGCTAGCTAGCTAGCTAGATAGCCAGCTAATTAGCTAGCTAGTCAGCAAGGCCAGGCAAAGATATCTTATTACCATCAAAATGAAAACTCTTCTGCATTCAGCTAGCTAGCTGGCTAGCTGGCTAGCCAGCTAGCTAGCTAGGCGAAGTTAAGACATTAGATTTCCCTTAAAGTGAAAACTCTTCTGCATTTGGCTAGCTAGCTAGCTAGCTAGCTAGCTGGCTAGCTAAGCGAAGTCAAGACATGAGATTACCCTCAAAATGAAAACTCTTCTGCATTCAAAAAGCTCTTCGCAGTACTGCAGCATTACCAACAAGTTCATCGCGTTTTGCTGCTGGGGGCCCCCCGGGGGCCCCTGGGGGCCCCCCTTGCTGCTGCTGCTGCTGTAGTTTCTTCCTTCGCTGCGGACGGGCAAAAGCACTCGCAGCAATTTGGCCAAACAATGGCTAGCTAGCTAGCTAGCTGGCTAGCTGGCTAGCTAGCTAGCTAGCTGGGGGTGGGCTGGATGGCTAGCCAGCTAGGGGTGAGCTGGCTGGCTAGCTAGCCACCTGTGTGTGTAGCTGCCCATCTGTGTAGCTGGCCAGGTAACTAGCTAGCTAAGTGGCTAGCCAGCTAGCTAGCCAGCCAAATGGCCAGCTAGCTACCTAGCTAGCTAGCTAGCTAGCCAGCTAGCTAGCCAGCCAGCTAGCCAGCCAGCTAGCTAGCTAGCCAGCCAGCTAGCTAGCTAGCCAGCCAGCTAGCT